AGCCATCCCCTCTCCTCTCCCCCTCCCCCTCTCCCCTCCCCCTATTATACAAATATGTAGATAGTATGCGAAAATAAAATGCTCTAACCGGAAAAAATAAATCTGTAATCCGCGAAGACTGAATGCGCAAAAATGCTGTCAGCCAGTCAAATATAATTCATTTTTCATTAAAGTGCTGATTTGAAACGATCAAAATTTGAAGTTTCAAACGCCTTTTTCTAAAATTGGGTAAAGATTAGAAAAAAACTGAAGCCTGCAATAACTTAGATTTCAAAAATCGTATCTAAAAGTTTGAAGTTTGTTTTTAAGCTGAGATGTGGATTTTTATACAGTAAATTGACCTTTTTTGGCTAATAACCAAATGTGTATTCTTTTATACATACTTTTGAAGTTGTACCCTTGAGGTGTGTAAAAGGCTTTTTTTCAATTAAATATCTCATCAATTAGTTTGATAGTTATAGTTTCAGAATAATTGTTTAATATTTAAATAAAACCAAAATTTCATTTTTTGGGGGGTAAGGAGTTAAATTGAGAATTTCGAAGAAAGCATTGCAACATATTAATTGTGGTGAAGATTTATGTTTGTTCTTTTCACTTTTCTGTCTACTTTTAGCCATGTTTGAAAAAATACCGTTTGAATGTTTAAATGTTGTTCACTGTGTCCGGTTGATTTAAAATTAGCCCTGTATTTCGAAGGAAATAAGCAATAAGCAAAAAAGTTAGTCAGTTTTGGACAGTATGAAGGTCATGATTGGTTGACATTTTTTGGGTTTGGTTTTGCGCTCATGAGAATAACTCCTCCCCTCAAACCCTTTTTTATTTTTCTGACTTTCGTAACAAAAATAACGGAATAGTTGTGCTCGGGGTGATTTTTTCTTCATACAAATTTCTACTTCTTATCAAATCATTTTTGACAAAAAATTTTTAAAATCATTCAAAAAATTTTGTTGTCTGGATCTTAAAATCTGAAAACATTTTTCACCTGTGATCTGTTTTTTCTCTTAAGTTGTGGCGGTTTAAAGATTGGTATTTTGGCCTATTTGGGAAAATCAACGCGCGATATAATTCGCGCTATTAACGCGTAAGCCGAGGTTTCATCCGGCTTAGAAATCGTTCCAAATTGATTTGTTAATAGGAGCGAAATCTATCACTTTGTACTTTATTTGGCGTGTGGGGGGATAATTTTTACAAAAAATTCTCAATTTGATTAAAAAAATCATTTCAAAATTTTGTTACAATTAATTTTTTCATGCTATTACGGCTCCATAGACCTTGAAAGGTACGTTAGCGCGGCTAATTATACATCTGTTTTATAATGTAGTCATTTCATATAGAAAATTTTGGGTCAGTTTTCAGCAAAGTGTTATTTAAAATTCAGAAAACGGTTTAACCTTAGGAACTATAACCTGAACTAAATTCTGTTTATTTCGATTTTTGCTTAAATTTATTTATTGGTTGTAGTTGATGAAAATTTTTTCTGTTCAGCCTCAACTTATTGGAACAAATTATGAACTATTATTTTTTTCACAAAATATTCAGGCTGATGAGAGTTGTTCAAATGCCCATTTTCCGCAGTTGCTAAAAATCGTATAAACTTATGAATAAAAAAGGATTACTCGAATTATGGGGAAAAATGTTACCAGTTATTCTGTAAACTCTAAATTCAACTGATATTTTGAGTTTTTTCCAACCATTTACTGGACCGTCCTTATTTGCATATGAATACTTTGGTGCGGCGACTCAGAAATTTTCAGAGGACGCATTAAAAAACCAAATTATTGGGGAAAAACTGAGAGTTTTGTTGAAAAAAAAATGATAATTGAAAAAAAAATGATAATTGGGAAAATTTTAGGCTTTTCCCAAAGAAAATTTTTTCATGTAAGTTATCACGTTGTTCTGAAATTACGTTATTCTTTCCAACGCTAACCCCCCCCTCGACGAAACAGTTTCTCATCAGCCATGAGATCAACCGCTCCAGACTTGCATTCTTAGCTCAGTACTCACAGGACCTCTCTTCTATGTCAACCGAGGTCTTAGCCAACAGCCGGACAAAATTGCAATTGTTTCGAAAGTCTGTCAATCTACACTACAACTATACGCTGACTAAAATCGGAGACATATATTTCCAAAGAAAGAGAAACAGTCATCAAAAATTGAAATTAAAACAGTCGAAAGTTGTTCAGCCAAAAAAAAACTTTCTATTAATTATTTTGCAGAAAAACAAAAAACATTAGTGCAATATATTTTACACCAAAAACCACAGATAGCTTCCTGGAATGATATTGTCTTGTGGCATGATCAAATCAACATTTCTATAAGTTAGCATGCAAGCATAATTCTTAAATTTATTTATTGGCCGTAGTGGATGAAAATCCTTTCTGTTCAGCCTCAACTTATTGGAACAAGTTATGATTTATTAAGTTTTTCACAAAATTTTTAGACTGATGAGAGTTGTTCAAATGCCCATATTCCGCAGTTGCTAAAAATCGTAAAAGCTTATGAATAAAAAAGAATTGCTCGAATTATGGGAAAAAATGTTACCAGTTATTCTGTAAACCCTAAATTTAACTGTTGTTTTCAGTTTTTCCCGACCATTTAAGCGACCGTCCAAATTATTGGGAAAAAATGAGATTTTTGTCCGAAAAAGGAGTGATAACTGGGAAAATTTTAGTCTTT